ATTATATAATTAGAGTAAAAGGAAATGCATCAAGCAGGAATAACATCTACAAACACAGATGCACCCAGCTTGGGTTTGTTGAGTTTCATCATACAAAGATGAAATAAATAATATATAATAATATAATATATAATATAATTTACTTAATATATATTATATATTATATATAATATACTAAAAGGGGACCAATAACTAGGAAAAGATGAAATGCTGGGGTGTACATACAGCCCAATATTTCATCGAAATGTTGAGGTGTACGTACACCCCAAAAACGAGCGAAAAGAGAGGAAATTGAATTTAAAAGAAAAGTAATTGACAGAAGAAGAAAGAAAAAAGCAGAAATATTATTTAAATATATATTTAATTAATTAAATTAAATATATATAAACAGGTATTTCATCATATGTTTTTAGGTGTACGTACACCGCAGCAATTGAGGTGTATAGGCACCTCAGCTGACTGCGCTGCAGCAGAAATAGAAACAAAAGCAGATGAAACATTGGAGCTTATAAATAAATAAATAAATAAATAAATATATTTATTTATTTATTTATTTATATTTATATAGATAATATTTCTATTAAACTGCATGCAGTGGAATTAGCGTCTGGCTTCCCTCTTTTGGGGTGTATGTACACCCGGTGATGAAGCTGCATGCAATAGATATCTGTTTTCTCTTTTTCTGTATATACACCCGAGAATTCAACTGCATGCAACGAAACTTTTCTCTGCTTTCTCTCTTTTATCCAAATACAAAACGTAAAATATCGTTTTATAAGAAAAGGCAAATGAAGTTCTCTCGGGTGTATGTACACCTCAACTTGCAGCATGCAGAAACATGAATCAACACGCACCCAAACCCATACACAAACATACATACATGTATATACATATAAATTAATACATATATACATGAAAATAAATTTATATTTACATAAATATAAATATTTATAAATACAAATAAATAAATATATAAATATAAATATATTTCTCTCTCAACCGAAGACTGAGTGCATCATAGTTTTGGATAGATTTCTGTGTGTTTTCCACGAGGTGTAT